TTCTGCCGTTCTAAGTGGTGTTACAGACACAACTTTCTTTTTAATATAGAGATGACCGTAGAACGAAAGTTTAGGATCTAGACGGACAACTAGATCATTAACAAGAGAGATTCTTTTCAAAGCGCAGGCGAAAAGCATGTAAGTTAACAGGGGAGTGACTCGTGAAAATGTCATCAGTTTGCATTTAGAGCTGTTGCTATGTAAAGAGTTAGCGTGACTGTCCCTATACTGCACGCCAAGTTTAAATTTGGCTTGGCTTGCTTGATTTATCCTTGTCTCAAGTTAACCATAATTCATTAAGCCGCTTACTTGATCTGTGCTTCGTATCTGATCCTGAAGGCGTAAACCTCATTAGGCTTCCTCCATTGACGCAACCTAAAGACCCTTACCATCCAACTTTCTAAGTGACTATCCATACAGGGAAATCATAGAGATTAAACCTTATCGAAAAGCTGACAAAGTCCGCTGTTTTCGAAAAGCTGACTACCAAAAGCTAAGTACTTAAATATCCGAATTTAATTGGTTGTGCTCGGACATGGTAACCGCAGAGGACACTTTTTACAGTGCCATGAACTCTTTTTTATTTTCGTTAAGTGTTCCGGTAACCTATCCGTTGGTCTTTAATAAACCGCCTTGGTTCTATCTAGTTTTTTACGCGCTCGGTCGAATTTGACCGTGCTTGTTGGTCAGTGTTATTAAGATTATTTGACTCTTTGTAGTGTTCAGTTTTTGCAGAACCCAAAACAGTATTATAACTTTGTTAACACTAAGCGTAAACCCAATACATTTAATAAAACAATCTTCTTGAAACACTACTCTTGGAACTTACTTAATTTGTTATTAGACGCTTCCAACGTAGCAGTCAAACCGATGTGATTTACATGGACTTCAGTAATCTAATGTTATCTAGTTATACGCAAAAGGTCCTCTATCGGAATAATTTAATCCAGGCCCATATCCCATATGTACCATACCTACCTTCCCATATCCTAAACGTCCTGTTATGTTCTAATGGCTCTGAACGATTCCGGTAACAATAAATATAATTAATTTATTAAAAAAAAAAAAGAATAATTTATTTTATGTTCTAAGGGTTATTTATGGCGTCCCGCAAAGAAGCCATTTGGGACCCTTATTGTTTACATTATTAATAAATTACCAGCCCTAAGTCTTGGCTAACTCCAGAGTGCTTATGTAAGTTGATGATGTCAAGCTTTGCGTGCAATACAATAATGTCGCCTGCCAATCGCATTTACAAACAGATCTCAATAATTTCCAACCTTGATACCGTGTAAACTTATTAAACTAAAATGGCTCAAAATGCAAGTTAATGACTTTCACTCGTGTCGTTCATAAGCTTGCGACTTACACGCTGAACTGCTGCTCTTTGGAAGGAATAAATTCATAATAATTTAGGCGTCCACTTGGATTCTAAACCTGACTTCATATTATACTTCGTTTATGATGAATAGAGCAAGGGGTGTGTGGATTTAATAAAAGGTGGTCGAAAGAATTCAATGACATCTGTATATCTAAATTCTTTATATATTTCATTAGTTCGTTCTTAGCACTATGGATCTAAGAATATGGATCATACGTTTGAAGCCCTCCATAAGGCGTCCATAGTAAACGAATTTAATCGGTTCAAAAGAACTTTGTTTTTCGCTCTACGCGGTTTAAATTGGGATGCAAAGCAAAGATTACTTTCGTACTCTAATAGACTCCTCCTAACTAACTTACCATCCTTAGCCAAGCGTAAAACTATGCTTGGCGTAATCTTTTCTATAACCTCATTTATGGTGACGTGGAAAGTGCTGACTTGTTGAGTCAGCTCAATTTCCACGTACCAAAAAGAAATACTATATCGTATTTACCCTTATTGTAACACCACTGTTGAACCTCCCTTGAATTTGAATAGTCTTCCCAAACTAAATACTTTAATCCTAACCCACTTAGTACAAATGCAAACATACAATCTGGCAGCACGCCAGTAGTTAATTTCCTTGTAGTGTATTTCCATATTTCCTAACCAAGCAGGCACGTGCTTGGTTTCATACAGCGCACTTGTATGTACACTGACCATAGTGAATCAACGTTCATTATATATTATTTTAGAATTTTGATTAAAATTTTATAAAAATTTGATGACTATATCATATAGCTTTCAAAGGAAGGATTGGAAAGTTATATTTTTCAGTTTGTATGTTATTTTGTTTAAATTTTATGAAAATCGTTAGATATAGAGGAAATGCAAAACTGGGAGTGTAAAGTTGTAAATATAATATGTAGAGATAAATGAAATAAATGAATGCATTACTTCATCGTTTTTTTATATGTTCGCAGGGAATTAAAAGTCCAGTCAGAACTTTGCAACGCAGTGAAGGAGGCACCTCCGACCATATACATATATATATGTAGCTTCATTAGAAACGATCGTTAAATGTAGAGAATAATGAATTAATGAAGAAAAGTAAATGTAACGAAAGTACCTATTACTTCGTTGTTTTGAACAGAAATATATTATAATAAATAAAGTGGTTGTTTATCCAGCTCAAGGTCAAGGAGGGGGGTAAGCCAAAATTAGAACCTTTTTTTTCAGATATATTTTGGGTGCTTATCGGCAACCGTCTTCAGGTCAACTATTTTAACTTAATGATATATGATTTGTGTTGGGCTATCCTCGTTTTTAATTTTGAATTTGTCGATCCTATGTTTAAACTGTTGCATGGATTTTTGTTCTTTCCGTTGCTTTGAATTTTGTTAACTACGTTTCTCTTAATGTATTTATTGGTTTATGGGCTATTATTAATGTTTCTTCTTTGTTGTAAGAGTTTGATATGTTTAGTCTTTTAGAGAGTTTGGGTATATAAATGGCAGATTTATATGTCGTTGGCGGTTCAGGTGATATTTTGGTGGTTGTGGAACGTTGTATATTTATAAGTGTATTAAACATTTTGTCCATGAAGTTATTTTTTCGTAACAAGCATTTTCTTATATTTTTTTATTTTCTCATGGTATACTTTGTCAGAAATATTTAACATCCGCCCTATGTACCCTATGACAGTATTCATAATCATTGTTATACACTTGCATGGTATTATAATTTCAGTCAGAAGTTTGCAACGCAGTGAAGGAGGCACCTCCGACTATATAAAGTATATATATTCTTCATCAGCATGAACAACCGAGTCGATCTAGCCATGTCCGTCTGTCTGTCAGTCCGTCTTTCCGTTTCTACGCAAACGAGTCTCTCACTTTTGAAGCTATCTAAATGAAACTTTGTAGTTAGTTATATACTCTCACTCGTATATATGTCGGAACAGGCCGGACCGGGCGACTATTTCATATAGCTGCCATAGGAACGATCGGAAAATTTTTAGAAAATTCTTACTTTTCCTATTTTCAACAGATTTTCATATAATTTGAGATAAAGCCAATTTATATTCTAGAATTACGGTTCTAATTTTGGGAAAATCGGGAGACTATATCATATAGCTGCCATAGAAACTAATCGTTAAATGTACAGGAAAATACCAAACAGTGAATGTTAAAGTGTAAAAGATAAAACTGTAAATAGTTATATGTTTATAATAAGTAAAGGTGGAGTAGTAGAAATTATTTTGTTTTTATGCCACTGCTGAATATACTAATTTTAGTTAAAAGTTTGGAACGCAGTGAAGGAGCAATTTAGCAATTCTTAATTGACATCTGTTCATGGCAGGTATTAACTTAGGAATCAATATGGCGTAATCCATATTTGCATATTACCTGTAACTACCTATAATTTGATAAAAACTGTGAATTTGATTCTTCCGCATTTCAGGGGTTTATGGGAGGAGAGTTGTCGATGCACCCATCCTAGCCATTGATGAATAAGAACTCTAGCCAATTAAAATCTGTCATTCTTAAAACACAAGATTTCCTTAGATATGTATTACTTTTCTTCGTGATGGCTCAGCAGACGGCCAAGGGTGACCAGATGCTAACGAAACGTCTTTCTTTTAACTTATATCTCTAAAGCTTTCATGTCATCGATTTAGCTTAACTTATTTTTTAAGCTCATGCCCATATCAATACATTTGGATGCAAAGCTTTCGAATCGTACGTCGTTGGAGTTTTTTTTTGGGATTTAAAATGTATTTATTTAACGAATGGTATATTAAAGTAAAATATTCGAAGCATGTCTTATAAAATTGTTATAAAGAAATATTCAAAAATATGGCAACTGTAGCAATTGTCCGGACGTGTCTCGAAAAAAAGTTGAACTGCGTTGCCCATCATAACTCGGTGCCGGATCATCGGAAATCAAAAAATCGTTAGCTTAGAGAATACCCAAGGTAACGCTAAGTTTTTTTTTTTAATCCAATTTTTTAATTTTATTCTAAGACTGTTTTCACTTCACACAATATTTTGGGAAAAGAAATCAGCTAATTGGTCATTGTATAATCAAAATTATGAAAAAATCTTGACAGCGTTACCTCATAAATATCTATAAATATTATATAATATAAATACAATTTCACCGACTTTGAAAACGTGAGTTATGGGAAAAACGCTTTAAACTTTTAAACACAAAAAAATCCAGAGTACAACAAAAATCCGGCAAGTATAAAAATAATCATATCTTCGTCAATTTTGCTTTAATTAACTTGACATTTTGGTACAATATTCTTCAGATATTATGCATTCAATATGACAAAAAAAATAAATAAACATAAAATACCTTACCTTGCAACTTCGTTGCAAATTTCTGACTAAATAAATACCCTGCTTGGGGAAAATTACAAAAGGCCTACGTGAATATCTGTAGAATTACTTCAATACCTTATGTTTCAAATTAATTGGAATATTCGATTTTTTTATAACAAATACAATAAATAATAAACAAAAAAAAAAAAACGAAAGAAATTTTAAATATATTAAGCCCACGCCCCCCTTATGAGTACCATTTATTATAATATTGACCAAATATCTAATATGTAAGTGAACACAATATTTACCGGTCCAGCAAAGTAGTTTCTGGCTAAATAAACGTTGCGCATTGCATAGTTAATAAGAAGGGTTAGTTTATTTTTCGGAATGGTATCCAGAGCTTGTTTGGCTTTAAGTTTGGCAACGTCAGAACTCATTATGTTAAGAAGCTTTGGTGATATACACTCAATATTCTCGTCGACGTCTTCTGCAATATAAAAGCAATGATTTCTTTTAATAAATAAAGAATAACAATATATTTTAGAAGTAAATACAAATTAGTTTCTTCAATATTAGCCAATGAATTTGTATGTAGTAAACATTGTGTTGTGGAAACAGCATTTTTTCGCTCTCAGTTGAAGGCGAATAGGAATGATCGGGAGATAAAAATGAAAACAACATAAGGATCAACTTCAAAGAACGATAATATTAAAGACCTGTAATAGGAGCAATCGCTCAAATAATATAAATATATAAAAAAATCGACTTAATCTATGTTTTTATTAGAGTATTATAATTTCAGTCAGAAATTTGCAACGCAGTAATGGAGTCCTCTCCGACCATATACAGTAAATATACACTCCTGTTCATAATTATACGACACCTATGAAATTTTGGTTTCAGCAGTCGTAGGAGAATGGAAACACACAGTAGATCAAAATAAAGTATGCCGAATAATAGCACAAGGAGTTGTGCACAAAATGCGCTATTCTTATCCTTGGTTGCATCACTCGTTTTCAAGTAACGGTAAAAAAAGACACGCGCCTTTATTTAGGCTACCTTGAAATTGTTACAAAATGATACGACACACTTCAATTATTTTTGTTTACAGCTAATATTTTATTGGTTTAATTGTTTATAACTAAATATTAATAGTTTATAACGGCGCCTTGTGCTTTTCCTACTTCAAAAATTCTTTTAGGCATTGAATTTTTAAGGTTTTTTAAGATATTTTGGTCCAAGAGAGACCATTGTCTTAAAATTTCATTTTTGAGACTTTTAACAGTCTGAAATTTGTTGTTGTTGGCGTAAACTCGCCTGGCTAAGATACCCCAGATGTTTTCAATCGGTTTAAGGTTAGGAGAGCAAGTCGGCCAATCCAAAACATTTATTTTATTGTCATTAAGGAACCGTTGCGTCTCTTTGCATTTGCATTATCCTGCATAAAAACATAATTTTGGTCCTTATTCTGATTCGTAAATGACAGAGGACGATCTTGTAAACCGTTAATTATTTTCAAACTTTAACACAAAACGAGAGCGCAAGAAAAAAAACACGTCCGTTCACTTAAAAAGATGGCGCTTATATTTAAAAAAAAAATTTACCAATTATAAACACAAATCAGAATAGCTACATGCTCACGCGAAGTGAACGGGAAGTTATTAACACAAAATAGAAAATTTAAGTTAACCCCGGTGGTTATTTTCAAACTTTAACACAAAATGCGAGCGCAAGAAAAAAAACACGTCCGTTCACTTAAAAAGATGGCGCTTATATTTAAAAAAAATGTACCAATTATAAACACAAATCAGAATAGCTACATGCTCACGCGAAGTGAACGGGAAGTTATTAACACAAAATAGAAAATTGAAGTTAACCCCGGTGGTTATTTTCAAACTTTAACACAAAACGCGAGCGCAAGAAAAAAAAAACACGTCCGTTCACTTAAAAAGATGGCGCTTATATTTTAAAAAAAAATTTACTTTTCCAGTTCCAAGAGATTTTCATAAAATATATCTCAAATATATCAGACATTTTATATTAATCTAGAATCTTTAGTAAAATGTTTATTAAATAAGACTACTATGTATTTCATATACATGTATTATATATGATGTAGCTGCCATAATAACGATCGAGAAATTAAAACAATTAAAAATTACAACTTTTTCAGTTTTCAACACATTTTTAATAAATTTGAGAACTACCCATTTTATATCATTCTATATCATTCGCGATTATGAAAAGACGGCAACTGGGCATTACGCGACGTGCGTCGAATCTCTATTGGTTGAAATGTACATTTAACTAAAAAGCTAACTTGGGCAAGTGAATTAAAAGCTCTTTGGACTGATAGAAAATGGAGAGAGAGCCTACGGTATCACACTGCCTCTCGAAATACAGCGCCCCTTCGCCGTAAACATTGCATTCTGATAGGAAATACCTAGGAAGTAGGTTAGTTTTTTGGATCGGGATTGGAAGACGTAGAAGGCGTAGTGGTACGAGCAGGCCTGGGAAGAGTTATTCCTACAAGCTGCTTTTTCTTTTTCTTCGCTTCGAACTCCTTCGATCTGAAGATAGCTTGGACATAAGTATATGCACTGGATGGTTATCTTTTGAACACAAGTCGCATATTTTGTATTTGTTCATCAGCGATCGTTTATTTTCAAAACGCTCAGTTAGGTTTTCCCATGCTGAGCGGAAACCATCATTAGTGAGTGGCGAATTGGATAAATATAACAATAGATTGTCTATATAGACCGCTGTGAAAATATCTCGGAAAGTCGGCCAGCGACGATAATCGTCCGAGAAAACTTCCGCATCGCACGGAGGAAGCCGACGGCCAGACGGAAAGGAATTTTGGGTCGGAACGGGTTGAACTTGAGCTGATTTAGCAGAGATCGTATCGATCTGTTCCATAAGCAGGGCGGCACACCTTTCGTAAATAAAATATGAATACTCATATTTTGGCTTGAGAGAAGGCAAGGTGTCCGCCGCGCACTTAAAATCAACTGAAATCAGCTCTGAACAAGATTTGTACCTTATCACATGAATTTGGCACGTATACCTAGATGGAATGGGCGTTGCTGGATTGCAGAAGTTGGATTGGAAATAACTCAGACTGTCAGAGGTCAAAATAAATTTATTCAAAACGGAAGGAGCCATAATGATTTTATATATTTTGGTATTCTCGAAATGGTTTTTAAATTCGACACCTATTTATTTAGATTTAGAATTTAGGAACCAATCGGAATCGTAGTATAGCAATAAAATAGCTAAATATTTGACAATAATTTTAAAATTATTTGGAAATATTTGATTTTGCCTAAGGAACACAACGAACGATTAAAAAAAAAAAATTGTGTAAAAACCCGCCAAAACTAGCTGGACTAGCTATCAAAAAGCTAACGAGTGTGGCGGTAATTATTTGTCGATAATTTAAAATTGTTCGCAAAATTTAACATTTTTATTTTGATTTAATTTTTTTTCTTTAGGGGTTACATACAGTTAGAGGGCCAAAAAAAAGTGAATTTTTCAGAGTGTTTTTTGAAGAAACTTTTTAAATCATTGACCCAAAAATTTAAAGACATATTAAAATATCTTTTAACTGTATTTTAACTGAATTCCGGGAGCTTCTTTTAAATATGACGTTTTGTGGTGACCACAATATGTCGGAACTGGATCATCCGAAATTAAAAAACCAAACACATTTCGTTAGAGTAATGTCAAATCTAGTAATTAATCGAAGGAATAGGCAAAATAATTTTTTTTGACAAAATGGCAGTTTTGCAAAAAAAAATCGATTTTTCGAGGAAATTTCCGCTTTAAATTGTTTTTTATAAAAAATAAAATATTTATTGGAAAGAAAAAATCAGATTATTTTCCAGTACCTCTGATAGAAGATTGAAAAAAACTACAATAGGCTGCATTTTTATCTACAATGGACTTGAAAAATGGGGTTTTTAACATAGCTTTGGAAAAGGCTAGCCACTAACAGATTTTGATAAAAAAAAGGACTGTAGAAAATTAAGAAAGCTCCAATCTGTATTCATTGGCTGGATTTATCAGATTCGCCAACTAACTTCCAGGTTGCAGCTGAGGTGTTAATCCAGCTGTGTTTAAATAGAACTTTCCCAGGGCCGTACATCCCTGGGAAAATACCTTGCCGTAGCTTTGGACCGAACCTAGTCTGACTTTTCTGTTTGGAATCGCTCAAGGGGTACTATCTTACTGTTTATGTAAAGTTACCATTTGCTTTTATTCATGCTTGGCCGGGGTAAATAATAATGCTCATGATGAAATTCATCCTGAGAGGTATGAAAAAAAAGCAATATGACGCTGTGAACTTTTTACACGCTTATTTTTGTTCCATTTGTTACAATTACATTGTTAATTGTAGTAAGTCATTTTCAACCATACTCACAACCTCTTTAAGACTATACGTTTAACAGTCCGGGCGCCACGTAGACAACATAAATTGCGTCTTCGATATACACATATGTGCATATCGCGTCTGAGAAGAACTTGCAACCCCTTTATTTTTTTTTTGCTCGCTTGATATTTGACTTTGCCTCAAAGGTTAGAGCACCCTCCTCACAACCTGGCGAGCGCGAGCTCAAATCGCTCACGAGGCAAACTTTCTCTTACTTAATTTTTATATTCGTTAATTAAATGAATTTTCTAAAAAAAAATAAAAATAAAAGATTGATCAAATTAAATTAAACAAAATTCAAGTAAATCTATAAGCTATATTTGACTCTGGCTAAAAAAGGTTACATTATATAGTTTTACTTATAACAAAACAGGATATTTACTTTACCTTTGCAGAAAGAACTTCTATGAATAGGAATCAATACAATATAAATTATATATATTTGTGTTAAAAAACATCGAAGTAATACCTGATTTCATTTCATTCACCTATACATATTATATTTGCAGTTTTACATTCACAGATTTGCATTTTCCTCTACATCAAACGATCGGTTGTATGACACCTACATATATGATATAGTCGTCCGATTTTCATGAAATTTGACACAAACTTTAAGACTAATATAAAATGGATATACCTCAAATTTGATGTAAATCAGCTGAAAACTGAAAAAGTTATAAATTTAATTGTATTAATTTCGCGGTCGTTCCTATGGGAGCTATATGATATAGTAGTCCGATTTTCATAAAATTTTATACAAAATTGTAGAGTATAGTAAAATGGCTATATCTCAAATTTGATCCAATTTTATTGAAAACTGAAAAATTAATTTTTTTTTGTAAAAATTTTCCGATCATTCCTATGGCAGCTATATGATATAGTCGTCCGATCCGGCCCGTTCCGACATATATACGAGTGAGAGTATATAGAAGGCTAACTACAAAGTTTCATTTAGATAGCTTCAAAACTGAGAGACTAGTTTGCGTAGAATCGGACAGACGGACAGAAGGACAGACGGGCAGACGGACATGGCTAGATCGACTCGGCTGTTGATCCTGATCAAGAAATATACTTTATATAGTCGGAGGAGCCTCCTTCACTGCGATGCAAACTTCTGACTGAAATTATAATACCCTGCAAAGGTATAAAAACGATTTAAAAGAAAATGCAGGGTGGTCTAACCCCTTAAGTTAGACCTCTTCAAAGCTCTAAACCCCATCTGAAAATTCATAGAGCAGATCGCTAACAAAAAGGCGAACCCGGCGGCGTTCCAGTCCTCTCACGGAAAACGTATTCCTTCATAGAACGTGAGCAAGAGCGCGAACACACACAGGGAAGACATATCCTCGATGTTCACATCTGGGAAAAACTGGGATGCGCAACACATATACCGAAATGGTAGGTGTAGGTTAATTAAAACTTAAATTCTAATATAATACTAATAATTCTTATGGCATCTATATGATCCGTCCGTTTTCAACTTATAGACAAGACAGAGTATATAGAGAACTAACTGCAATGTTCATTCGGATAGAAACGGAAAGGCGGACAGACAAAGCTGATTAAGAATATATTACTGCGTTGCAAACTTCTGACTAAAAACGAATTAATTATTCTAACTCAAAAAAAAAAAAACAAGAAAGGAAGCTAACTTCGGCACGCCGAAGTTTATATACCCTTGCAGATAGAACTTCTATGAATACGAATCAATACAATATTAATTATATATATTTGTGTTAAAAAACAATGAAGTAATACCTGCTTTCATTTCATTCACCTATACATATTATATTTGCTGTTTTACAATCTCAGATTTGCATTTTTCCTCTATATCAAAAGATTGTTTGTATGCCACTTATATGATATAGTCGTCCGATTTTCATGAAATTTGACACAAAATTTAAGACTAACACAAAATGGCTATACCTCAAATTTGATGAAAATCAGCTGAAAACTGAAAAAGTTATAAATTTAATTGTATTAATTTCTCGATCGTTCCTATGGGACCTATATGATATAGTAGTTCGATTTTCATAAAATTTTATGCAAAATTTTAGAGTATAGTAAAATGGCTATATCTCAAATTTGATCCAATTCTGTTGAAAACTGAAAAAGTTACATTTTTTTGTAAACATTTTCCGATCATTCCTATGTCAGCTATATGATATAGTCGTCCGATCCGGCCCGTTCCGACATAAATATATACGAGTGAGAGTATATAGAAGGCTAACTACAAAGTTTCATTCTGATAGCTTTAAAACTGAGAGACTAGTTTACGTAGAAACGGACAGAAGGACAGACGGACATGGCTAGATCGACTCGGCTGTTGATCGTGATCAAGAATATATATACTTTATATAGTCGGAGGTGCCTCCTTCACTGCGTTGCAAACTTCTGACTGAAATTATAATACCCTGCAAGGGTATAAAAGGAGTTCAGTCCGATAATGTTATAATGGTTTAAAGGGAGAGTTCAACAGAATATACAACATTTTGTAGTGATATTACTACTAACTTAAGATACAATTTTTTGTGTTGCATACCTGAATCAAAATTGGGAGACTCGGTATCGTCTAATATTTCAATTATTTGCTCCATGTTTCGAATAAATTGTTGATATGTTTGTGATCTAGTTACTTCATCCTTCAGAAATTGTTGATTTGATATAGGCAATATTCTTTCGACACGGCGAACTTTGGGTTTAGAGACTGTTATTATAAAAATAAGTAAATTTATATTTATACTTAATAATAAATCTAAAATATAATAATACTTACAAACTTGTTCCGGTGGGATATCACCAATTGATATAGCTTGTTTTCGTTTACCAGAAATATTCTTTTCATCTGCTTTTATGCTAGAAAATGAATCTGCCGAAGATATAACAAGGGTCTCACCGCTCGAAGTTACCAGGTCCGGAAATTTAGGCAGCATTTTCAAGGTTTCAAATGGTTGAGTTGATTCTTGTAGTAACCCCAAACTTCTAGCCAATTCTGGTGACTTTTGTACAAACTTCTTAATACTTTCTTGCATAAGACAAGTATCCTCAATTTTAAGGCGATTGATACATACCCGAACCTGAGACTTGCCACTTGATGACGTAGACGTCGATGTAGTGGTTGAAGCCACACTTTGTTGGAGGTCGGAGCTATACGAAATTCTGTTATTATTTGGAATTAAGTTCGCACTTGGTTGTGATTCTTGCTGATTTGCCTCGGGTTTCTCAATAGCTTGTGTTGGTTTACTTTTTGGTTGTTGTAGTAAAGAGTTTTGGATTTGACTTGATGCAAATGCCTTATATGGCTGATCATGTGTTAAAGACAAATTTGACGAACCTAAATTAAAAGTCGAGGACGCTAAAACTTGGGGCAAGTCTTCAGTTATAGTTTGAAAAGGTTTGTCTGTTTGAATAATATCACAATTACGAAAGTAATCTTCATTGGATTGAATTTGCTTTTTTGTCTCCGAGGTATAAAATACTTTTTCTTTATCAACATTTTCCGAAATATGTTGTCCACATTTTTATAGTTTATAGTTTTATTTTTGAGTTCACTGTCTTCAAATGACTGTTCTCTGACTTTGATTTGTGGATATTTTGGCGGAGTCACCGTTGAGGTCATACTAAAATTTAAGAGATATTATAGAATGTATGTGTACATATGTAGCAATAATGCTTACTGATCAATATAAATCTGCGAACGAAAATGCGAATCGTTTTTTAAGATTTGTGTAGATATATTGGTACTGCTTTCTATCGGTGTTGCGTATGAATCAAATTTAGGTTCGCTTTCTTCCTTTTGGTAATAAAGTCTTTTTACGAAATGGTGTTCACCAGACACTGTAATTAAATAAATAACAGATTAAACCTGTAAGTAATTTTACTTGTTTACTATGAGGTGTTAGACAAAAATAATTGCATTTCGTATATACATATGTACGGTTAATAAAAAAAATGTAAGTAAAAAAGCTAAAATCGGCGCGCCTTTCAGATTGCAATTCAATTAAAACGATAATAACACAGGCACACAAAAAAAAAGTGTCATGTACCAGAGGGTAGACCATTCTTTTCCTAGGTTTTCGGGGTCGCTGAATCCGAATCTGAAGTCAGAACAGTAAATTTTCTTTCCAGTTTTCGAGATATTGGCTTTTTAAAAATTTTTAGAGGTTATGTCAGTTAAATAGATATAACTCGAAACTCGGAGATATAAGCCGCCAAACTCAAAAATTTTAATTTTTGGTTTCAGCACTCCACAATGGTCTGAACGTGTATACTCAAAAACATTGTTTCCTGCCATACATTTGCATGTAAAAAATACACAAATTTAATCACTTAAAATTAAATAACTTAACTATAACACCATAGATTTTGATCAATGATATCTTAATTTCTTCCTTAAACTTTAGTTCTTCAGAAAAAAATATCAAAAAAAATGTATCGATTTGTTATCGGCCCTTTTTCGATACTCAAAAATGACTTTTTCGAGCAAAAATTACAATTTTTGAGTTTGGCGGCTTATATCTCCGAAACTACTAACCGAATCGAAAAGTTTTGAGAGAAACATATTTAGGTTATTCTATTGGCTTTCATTTGATATGAAATTTATGCGAATTAGAAATTTTATTTTCGAGTTATATCTATTTAACTGACATAACCTCTAAAAATTTTTAAAAAGCCAATATCTCGAAAACTGGAAAGAAATTTACTGTTCTGACTTCAGATTCGGATTCAGTGACCTCGAAAACCTAGGAAAAGAATGGTCTACCCTCTGGTACATGACACGTCTTTTTTTTTGTGTGCATGTGTAATTCGAAATATTTATGTTGGCAAAGAAAGTAGAGTCTCTTTCACAGATACAGTTTAGCATTTTATTCTACATTTAAGGATCCTTTCTATAGCTACATATATAAAAATACTAGCCCGATTTTTACAAAATTAAAACCAAAATCCTTTATTAATAAAAAAATATTTTCCGATCGTTTCTTTGCCAGCATTGTGAAATATATTTGTCCCATTCGTCCGGTTCATATTTATATAGTAGTGAGAGTATATAGCAGACTAACTGCAATAATTACTTCAAAAAGCTTTAAAACTGAAAAAAAAAAATTGTTTGCGTGGAAGCAGACAGACAGACAGGACAAACAAACGGACATGGCTAGATAGATAGCTTTTCAAGAATATATGGCAGCTATATGACAAAGTCGTCCGGTTTTTATAAAATTAAATCCGAAATTGTATAATATTAAACAGGAAAGGAAGCTAATTTCAGCACGCACGAACTTCGATCAGTCGGAATTAATACAATGTAAATTATATATATATGTTAAAAAACAATGCAGTAATGCGTGATTTTATTTCATTCACCTTACATATATTACATTTACAGTTTTACATTATCTCAAGATCGTTTGTATGGCAGCTGTGTATAGTCGTCCGAATTTCATAAAATTAAAACCAAAATTCTTGAATAATAAAAAAAGGGCTGTATCTCAAATTTGATAAAATGTGTTGAAAACTGAAAAAGTTATAATTTTTATTTGTATTAATTTATCGATCGTTTCTATGGCTATATGAGATATAGTGACCGATTTTAACACAAAATTGTAGAATAATATAAAATGGCTATTTCTTAAATTTAATAAAATTCTGTTAAAAACTGAAAATGTTATAATTTCCTTTGTAAAAATGTTCCGATTGTTCCTATGGTAGAAAGATCTACAGGTTACCTTTATGATTTGTAAGAAGTGTGAGAACGTTGTGCAAGGTGGCCAGAGACAGTCTGGTGGATGAATTCCATGACAACGTTCGTCTCATGTCGGAGAAATGGGGGAAGGTTGGGTCTGATATGACCGACGTGGTAACCTCAAATGATTGCCAAAAGGACGCACTCATCACGAAAGAGTGATCACATGTCTAACAGAAAAGGTAGCTAACTTCGGTCGAAGTTCATATATCCTTGCAGATAGATGGCTAGGAATCAATACAACATAAGTTATATATATACAACATATTTGTACATATTTATGTTAAACAAAAACAAGAAAGGAAGCTAACTTCGGCACGCCGAAGTTTATATACCCTTGCAGATAGAACTGCTATGAATACGAATCAATACAATATAAATTTGTTACGGAACTGCTTCCTTGGGCAACGCCGGGCTAGCTCAGAAGGCCCAGGGCTGGGTTCGACCCAATGCCCGCAGTCCGCACAATAAGATATCGGACAATTCGGACTCTCATCACTGACACAACTACCATCCCTAAACACAAACCCAAAATAAACAAACGACAAATATACACTGACGACGCTGCCGGGACAAATTGGTGGCATTGGTGTTATTGCCACAACGCACCCACCCATCCTGTGATGCCTCCTGAGTGTCTCGGGGCATCACCCATCTCCGGCGGACCGGAGCCTATTCCAGGCGGTCTGGCGACCGGCCCATCTCCCCCAGGTATTTACTCTACTCCGTTTTCATTCTTATTATTTATTTATATAAACATTCTTGATAATATTACTATTTCCCTTTCTATTTGGTATACTCCACTCCCGGCGAGAGCGTGGCCCTAGCCAGGGATGCGCTTGCTCCAAGGCTGCGCTGTTGGGGGACTTAAAAAGCTAGCGGAGGAGAAGCACCTTAAAACATTTGGCCTCAAACGGCCCCACGACAATTACTCCCTCTTTAGGGTCCCTAATCCCTGCTGGAGCTCCAAGAGAAATCTAGGGACAGGGATTCACGACCAAAAGAAAACAAAACAAAAGGTCAAGGAAACACCATTACCGGGCTTCTTCCCCGTTCCCCCTTTGGTCACAGCTCCTGTGTTGCACCAATCCCGGACCCGGGATACGGCCAAGCGGAAAACAGAGACAACCTTACAAATACAGAGACACAAAATACGAACTAAACTATCCTAACCTAATTGAAATTTAAATTTAAATTTAACTCCGGTAGGGCCCTCCACCCGGAACGGACTCACCGGACTAGCCCTTGGCGGCTTCGGCGTCGGAGCGGCGGCACGCTGTCCTGGCGACTCTGGGTCCTCAACTCGGACGGCGCTGAAGCGGCGGCACGGGCGGTGCTAAGGCGGGGCACTGGCGGCGGCACTGGGCACCGCGGAGGCGGTGTCCACGGATTGGCACTGAAGCGGCGGCACTGGGCAGCGCGGAGGCGGTGTCCACGGATCGGCACTGAAGCGGCGGCACTGGCGGTGCTAAGGTGGCGTGGGCGGCGGCGCTGCGGCTCCCAACTCGGACGGCGCTGAAGTGGCGGCACGGGCGGTACTAAGGCGGCACGCTGCGGCTCTGGGCTCTCAGCTCGGGCGGCGGCACTGGGCACCGCGGAGGCGGCGTCCACGGATCGGCACTGAAGCGGCGGCACTGGGCAGCGCGGAGGCGGTGTCCACGGATCGGCACGCGCGCACTCTCCGGCAGTCAACGGTTAAGATTTTTTTCCTTTTCGAAAAATAACCTCGCGCCACGTTTCTTTCCAAAAATTGACTCCCCGTTTTTTTCTCCTGCACCTCCCTTTATTGCCTCCGTTCCCAAAGCTCCACGCCGTTACCTTTTTTTCTTTCCTCCTTGCCCTTCCGAGAGAAAGGGTAAAAAACCTTTCTCTTAAGCCTGCTTTGAAAGTTCCCGGTTCGCTCAGCTTCCTCCCCCCCCCCTGGGACCACCGATCCTGCCTCTCTCTATCGATACATCGATAGCCTCTTCCCCTCCGAACTCCGAAATGCAACACCACCCAAGGATTTGGAGAGGTGCTACCAGGAGCCGGCTCGACAAGATCATTGGGAGCATTTAAATGGCATCTCCAGCGCAGTTCCGAACGGTGCCCAACGCGGGGCCCACGTCTTACGGGAAGTACCTCTACCTTTTTGGTCTTGCCCATGTGTACTTTTTGCTCCCTCTTCCAGGTCATACGCGGATATCCTTGGCGTGATACACTCCCAAACTCCTGCCGTCCAGGTCCTCCAGTTCGTACGCGTTTCCGCCTATTGCCTTCACCACCCTGGCCTTCAGGAACTTCTTGGCGAACTTGGCATTGAACTGTTTCCCGAAGTCGCTGAGGACGAAGTTTCGGCGATATACCTCCTGACCTGGCCTTGCTGCAAACACTCTGGCTCTCTGATCGTAACGTCGACGACTGCGATCGTATGCGGATTCCAGACACTTTCGCACCTTCTCCTGTACCACTCGGAGCTTGTCGGCAGTCGGCATGCCTGCCAACTCGTGGTCACACAGCGACTGCAGCTTCCTGGCCAGTCGGTAGCTGGAACCATGCAGGAACATGTGGTGTCCGAAAAGTGTGAAAAACGGCGCTTCGCCCGTAGCCGAATGGACTGCGTTCCGGATGGCCACCTCGATCTCGGGAAGATAGGCATCCCAATCCCGATGGTCGTTATCCAAGAACCCTCGGATAGCCGCCAGTACGCTCCGGTTCACCCGTTCCGCTGCGTTGCTCTGTGGCGAGTATATCGGAGTCTTCACGTGTCGGATCCCGAAGCTCTCCATGGACTCCTCGAAAATCCTCGACGTAAACTGTCGTCCATTGTCCGAGTGTACGATTTCTGGCACCCCGAACTTGTAGAAGACCTCATTGATGAGGAAATCCACGACGTTCGAGGCTGTCGCTTCCCTCATGGCCTTCAGGAATGTGTACTTTGAAAAATGGTCCACCACGATAAAGACCCAGGCGTGTCCTTTCCTCGACCTCGGGTACTTGCCCAGGAAGTCGATGTACAACTTCTGGAATGGCCGCTCTGTCTGCACTCGCTCGCCGATCCCGACCATCATCCGGTGATTCGGTGCCTTCGATTCCTTACAGACCTGGCATCTTCGGACAAATTCCCGCACCTGCAGTACCATCCCAGGCCAGTAGAACTGCCGCCGAAGGATCTCCAGGGTCTTCCCCATTCCGCCGTGAGCAGCCTTTGGGTCTGAATGGGCTCGCTCAACCAGGCTGTGGGTCAGACTCTGCGGTATCCAGAGCTTCCATGTCGATCCGTCCACCTCGTCGTCCACAGTTGCTAGGGAGGTTCGCTTGAATATGAGTCCGTCTTCAATCCTAAGATCCGGTAAGTTGTCCTTGTTTTCCAGAATCTCTCGGACTAACTCCTTATATTCGTCTCCAGCAAACTCGGTGGTCTCAAAACCCAGCAACTTGGTCGGGTCCATTGCGATCTCGTCCACGCATCGCGAAAGCGTGTCTGCCACCACGTTCTCGCTGCCTTTCCGGTGTTCGATCTTAAAGTTGAAGCCCTGGAGCTGCAGAGACCACCTGGCCAGGCGTCCCGACAGATCCTTCATGGACATCAACCATTTCAGGCTGGCGTGATCGGTGATGCAGGTAAACGGCATGCCTTCTACATAGGGCCGGAACTTGCGGATCGCCAGGAGAGCAGCAAGACACTCTTTCTCGGTGACGGTGTAATTCACCTGGTGCCTGTTCATTTTCGCCGAGAAGAAGGCAATCGGCTGCTCTTGGTCCTCCTCGTTCTTTTGGAACAGAACGGCCCCAACTCCGACGTGCGATGCGTCACACTGGATGTAGAAGTGCCGCTGGAAGTCCGCGTGCACCAGCACTGGTGCCGTGGTTAATGCCACCTTTAACGCTTCTACAGCCTGCCGCGCTTCCGGACTCAAGGAAAACTTGTTCCCAGTCTTCTTGAGGGATTCGGTTAGCGGCGCTGCCAGCGTCGCGAAATTCCTGACGAAACGTCGATACCAGCCAGCGGTACCCAGGAACGCGCGCACCTCCTTCATCGACCTCGGCTCCGGCATCCTCCTGATTGCTGCCACTCGACCGGGATCCATGCGCAGACGACCTCCACCTACGACAAAACCTAAGTACGTCAAGGACTTGAAGCAGAATTTTGATTTTTTTAGGCCGATGGTTAATCCTGCTTCTTTTAGGCATTCAGCGACCCGTCGTAGGTACCGGAAGTGCGTCTTTATGTCCGGGGCCAGTACGAGCAGATCGTCCAGGTATACGAACACATTGGATCGGATCTCGGCTGGGATTACTCTGTCCATGAGTCTCACCAACCTCTGTGCCGCATTACAGAGACCGAACGGCATCACCCTGAACTGGTAGAGGGGCCGACCAGGCACCGTGAACGCCGTCAACTCCTTGCTTTTCTCGTCCAGTTCGATCTGCCAGAACGCGAATTTCAAATCCACACTGGAGATGAAGTGGGTTTGATCGATTCTGGACAGGATTCCATCGATACTAGGCAAGGGGTAAGCGTCCTTGACGGTCACGTCGTTCAGTTTCCTGGCGTCTAGGCAGAACCTATCCTTTCCAGGCTTCGACACGACTGTCGTCCGGTTGCTCCAAGGACTCTTGCTCTCCTCGATGACTCCCAGGGCTAGCATTTTGTCGACCTCTTCCTCGACCACCTTCTGCTTCGCCGGAGACATCGGATAGGGCCGGTCTTTAAAAACCTTCGCGCCTGCCACTAGCTCGATGGTGTGCTTTTCCAGTCCAGTGGTACCCAAGCCGTCCTTCTCGAAGGTGAGAAACACCTTCTTGATGTCTTCGAGCTCCCGGGTCTCGGCTTCAGATAGTGTCCAGGATTCCGGGTCCGCCTTCTCCTCGTCGTCTTCCTCCTGGTCGGCGTAATGTTCCATTTCCCTAGCGTGAATTTCCTCGGCCTTCACGCCCTGCACCGGGCAATTTCCCACTACAGCCGGGGCCAGTTCAAATGTTCGCCAAAAATCGACGCCGAGGTATGCTGCCTGCTCCAGGTACGGGCACAAATAGAAGAGGATATACTCTACCCTTCCTTTGTATTTTACAGGTACCTTGATCCGACCGATGATCGACCGATCTTCGCCAGCAGCTGTTCGTACCACCGAGAAATACCTCTGCACGGGGACACCCAACGCGTCCACCAGCTGCCTGCTGCCTTTTCCGAGCAGACTGACACTCGCTCCGGTGTCTAACAGCCCAGTCAGCTGCTGGCCTAAAATCGTTATTTGGGCGAAAGGCCTGGGATCGTGGGTGTCACCCCGCTTGACGGCCGCAACGACTTCTCTCCGCTTCTCCTGGCGTTTCTTAAAGCGATCTCGGGCCTTCAAGACCGTTCGGGATACCTTGCGCATACCGCTTATCTGGTGCTGCTCGAAAATCCGGTTTCTTACTTCTAAATACCGTCGCATGCGCTCTTCAGGGGTAAATATCTTAACCTATCCATATTATGACTCTTATTTAATATTTGTTTTATTTCGGGCTCTTTTATTTGGCGGTGTTCCTCGCTGGGCGTGATCCTCCCGCCTTTGGATCGCGCAGCCATCCGTTTCCCGCACAATTCGGGCATTTCGGCGCAACAACGTCCGCTTTTCCACAGCGGAAACAAAAGACCTTGGTCAGCTCCTTCTCGCAATCCCGGAAACCATGGTCCATGGCTCCACAATTCCAGCAGCCAGCCCGGAAAGGATTTCGAGGCCGCTCCCGGACTTCCTGCACTTGCAATGGTTGCTCGTCTTCATCCTCCTCCTCCGGCTCTGGAGCAAACGCCTCACTGACTCGGTTCCGTTCCGCTCCTTGGTAGCGCGTTGGTGGCAGGAATTGGGTCCGGCTTTTGCGTCCGAAACTACGCTCCACCTCAAGGCTCTCTTGCCGCAGCTCATCGACGGTGAGTAGCTCCATGGCATATACGAAGCGAGCAATTCCCTCTCTTAAACCCCTTTTCATCACCTTTACCAGGTGGCGCTCCGGCATTGGCTTCCTCAGGCGGGAAGCAAGGGTTTGCATCGCGTGCAGATAATCATCGACGCTCTCCCCGGACTGTTGCTCCCGCTGCAAAAGTTGATGCATCCGTTGATGCTCCGTCTCATGGCTCTGGAACCTATCGATCAGCGCTCGGCGCAGCTGATGCCAACTGTCCAGTCGGTGCTGCTGCACGTGGATCCAAAACCACTCCAACGCCCTGCCCGTCAGCAACGTGTGGAAGTTACGCATCACTTCGGCCCACGAGCAACGAGATTGCCTCTGGAGATACTCCAAGCGGAACAGGAAGCCTTCGATGTGGTTCCGCTCATCCTCACCGCTAAATGAGATGTTCCACCTATCGACCCTGGTGCCATGGGAACTGTCTCCCGCGTTCCAGTTGACATACATCCGTTCGTCACGGAAATCGCCCGCTCGGCGGTCCTCGACACGCCAGTTCCGACCAACGCAGTCATCTCTACGCATTTCCTCAGTCTCGGTGGAACCGTCTGGACTGTTGAAAAAGCTCTCGGCTGGATCGGGTGCTCTCCGGGGTGGCTTCGGTGGGACTCGTGGAGTCGGCCGCGTCTCTTGCCAGGCAGCCGTCTGCCCTTGCTTGGGTATAGCTCCGCGAGCGTCGTATACAGCTTCCCTCGATCGTCCAAATGCCGGTGGCTGCTGCTGTTGACGGTGTTGTGGTCCTGCCGTCATCGGCTGCTGCTGTTGACGGTGTTGTGGTCCTGCCGTCATCGGTTGCTGCTGTTGACGGTGTTGTGGTCCTGCCGTCATCGGTTGCTGCTCCGCGCTCCCTCCTGGAACGTGTTGCGGCTTTGTGGAGGGTCTCAGCACCTCGTTCATTAATTGCATCATTTCCAGGAAACCGGCCCGCATCTCGTCCCGCAAGCTCTGGCTAATCCCAGCTTCTTGGGACTTGCGATACGTTTCTGCAGCCTGAGCCAGGGCAAGGTTCACCGCCGACTTGGCTGTGGAATCTACGGGCGGCTCCTGGGAATGTACCGAACGCTGAGCGGGATCCATCTCTACCAGGTGTTTAGCTGCTGCCCCGATCGCATCGAAGTCTAGCTGTTTTGGATGGACATGCTCCTCCGGTGGCCGCTCCTGTCGCCGAGATGGGGGTGTCCTCTGCAATCCCATTGAGGCCCGCGGCGGCGCGAACCCAACAGCACCCTCCCCATCCGTGGACCACAACTCCTCTTCCTGGGCTGAAGGACCCTTCGACCTGAGCTGATAATTGTTTCCCTTGTTCTCTTCCATAATCCAATTTCATTAATTCCTAACAGCTAACGGTTTGATTCTTACTAAATAAATATCTCAACGTAAATAAATCCACAGGCAACAAATAAATAATTCAGTAGGAAATTAATTTAATAAATAAATAGGCAATTAAATAAATAAATAAATAGACAATTAAATAAATAAATAAATAGACAATTAAATAAATAAATAAATAGACAATTGAATAAATAAATAAATAATAGAAATAAATAACCAGTCGGTCAGAAAATTATTTCTGCAATATCCACAATTAATTATTAATGTTTTCTTTAATTTCAGGGGAGATGGCCGATCAACCGCCGGTGGACTCCGCACCAGATACTTGCGTCTTCAATTGTCCCGTGTCGTCCCTAATCCGGCCATTCGTCAACTGGGCTAACTTTCAGCTGGGCTGAAAGTCGCCAGTTAAGGACATGGGCCTTCAGCAGTATCCCGTAGGATTTTCCTTGATGGCTGGGACTCCGAAGCTCTGATTGTGGTGGTCGTGCAGCGCGCAGTGAGACCTGCGGGTCACGACTTCACCAACAGGATGATACCAGGAAGCCCCTTCCACCAGGAAAACCCAAGGATCTGCACAAATTTACATTACATGGAAAACAAACATCTTTACGTTAAATTAAATAAACAACATTTATTACTTTCGCCTAAATTATCTCACAATTGTTCTAATCGCGTGCTTCATGCACGGATCTGTGGGCGAGGAATGCAAATCCGTCGTTTCCACGCCCGGATGTCATCCCCTTGCCACAGCAGAACCCTTGCGTCTACAGGAGCAATTGCCCGTCCTTCTGGCGGAGCAAGCCTCCCGTCTTTCGGTGAAAGAAAACAAAAAACAACACGTACGCCTGGGCCGCCAGTCCCCGGTCCTCGGTGCAATTGCAGGCCGTCAATATAGGCCATGCAAGCCACCGATTGCAGGGGCTGGATGCCCTGGGACGCGACCTTACGAGACATCGTCATTCCGCTAAACTCTTATTTGTTTTTTTGAAATTGGGCGCCATATTGTTACGGAACTGCTTCCTTGGGCAACGCCGGGCTAGCTCAGAAGGCCCAGGGCTGGGTTCGACCCAATGCCCGCAGTCCGCACAATAAGATATCGGACAATTCGGACTCTCATCACTGACACAACTACCATCCCTAAACACAAACCCAAAATAAACAAACGACAAATATACACTGACGACGCTGCCGGGACAAATTGGTGGCATTGGTGTTATTGCCACAACGCACCCACCCATCCTGTGATGCCTCCTGAGTGTCTCGGGGCATCACCCATCTCCGGCGGACCGGAGCCTATTCCAGGCGGTCTGGCGACCGGCCCATCTCCCCCAGGTATTTACTCTACTCCGTTTTCATTCTTATTATTTATTTTATATAAACATTCTTGATAATATTACTATTTCCCTTTCTATTTGGTATACTCCACTCCCGGCGAGAGCGTGGCCCTAGCCAGGGATGCGCTTGCTCCAAGGCTGCGCTGTTGGGGGACTTAAAAAGCTAGCGGAGGAGAAGCACCTTAAAACATTTGGCCTCAAACGGCCCCACGACAATTACTCCCTCTTTAGGGTCCCTAATCCCTGCTGGAGCTCCAAGAGAAATCTAGGGACAGGGATTCACGACCAAAAGAAAACAAAACAAAAGGTCAAGGAAACACCATTACCGGGCTTCTTCCCCGTTCCCCCTTTGGTCACAGCTCCTGTGTTGCACCAATCCCGGACCCGGGATACGGCCAAGCGGAAAACAGAGACAACCTTACAAATACAGAGACACAAAATACGAACTAAACTATCCTAACCTAATTGAAATTTAAATTTAAATTTAACTCCGGTAGGGCCCTCCACCCGGAACGGACTCATCGAACCCAGCCCTGGGCCTTCTGAGCTAGCCCGGCGTTGCCCAAGGAAGCAGTTCCGTAACAAATTATATAGATTTGTGTTAAAAAACAATGAAGTAATACCTGCTTTCATTTCATTCACCTATACATATTATATTTGCAGTTTTACATTCACAGATTTGCATTTTCCTCTACATCAAACGATCGGTTGTATGACACCTACATATATGATATAGTCGTCCGATTTTCATGAAATTTGACACAAAATGTAAGACTAATATAAAATGACTATACCTCAAATTTGATGTAAATCAGCTGAAAACTGAAAAAGTTATAAATTTAATTGTATTAAATTCCCGGTCGTTCCTATGGGAGCTATATGATATAGTAGTCCGATTTTCATAAAATTTTATACAAAATTGTAGAGTATAGTAAAATGGCTATATCTCAAATTTGATCCAATTTTATTGAAAACTGAAAAATTAATTTTTTTTTGTAAAAAATTTCCGATCATTCCTATGGCAGCTATATGATATAGTCGTCCGATCCGGCCCGTTCAGACATATATACGAGTGAGAGTATATAGAAGGCTAACTACAAAGTTTCATTTAGATAGCTTCAAAACTGAGAGACTAGTTTGCGTAGAAACGGACAGACGCACATGGCTAAATCGACTCGGCTGTTGATGTTGATCAAGAATATATATACTTTATATGGTCGGAGGTGCCTCCTTCACTGCGTTACAAACTTTTGACTGAAATTATAATACCCTGCAAGGATATAAAAAAACGATGAAGTAATGCTTTCTTTTATTACATTTACCTATACGTATATATTTATTGTTTTACATTTCCAGTTTTGCATTTCCTCTATATCTAATGATTTTCATAAAATTTAAACCAAAAATGGCCGTATCTAAAATTTGATAAAAATATTTGGAAAACTGAAAAAGTTATAATTTTTAATTGTATTAACTTTTCGAGCTTTCCTATGGCAGTTTTCATAAAATTGTAAACAAACATCTAGAATAATATAAAATGACTATATCTTAAATTTGATGAAATTCTATTGAAAACTGGAAAATATATCATTATTTTCTATACATTTTCCAATCGTTCTTATGATAGCTATATGATATAGTTATCCAATTTTCATAACATTTTAAGCAAAATTCTAGAATAATATATAATGGACAATGATGCACTAAGATCAGTACATACAAGTGGCCCGTATGAAGCCAGGCACGTGCCTGTTGGATTAAGAGTTAGTAGGCGCGAAAGGAAAAATAGAAAAGACGAAGAGGAAATCAACTACTGGCGTGCTGCCGAATTGCTTGCCTGCATGTCTACTAAGTGGGTTAGAATTAAAGTTTTTAGTTTTGGAAGGCCTTCTACGTTACAGATTATTGTATACAAATCATTATAATTTGCACACAATACTCTAAAAGGTTCATGTAATTCAAAAGCGGTTTTAGAGTCATGCAACACTAATGGAATATAGAATCTAATATTTCTACTTGGTACACCATGAATGAGGTTATAGATGAAGATAATGCCAATTATAGTTCCACGGTTGGCTTAGGATGGTAAGTTAATTAAAAGGAGTCTATTAGTGTAGGAAGGTAATCTTTGCTTTGAGGGAATGTCATTAGCTTGCATGTAGACCCGTTTAAGTTTAATAAGTTTACACGACACCAAGTTTGAAAATTATTGAGATCTGTGTGTAAATTCGACGGACAGGCGACGTTCTTGTATTGAACGCAAAGCTTGACTGCATCAGCATACATAAGCACTCTGGAATTAGTCAAGACTTTGGGCAGGTGATTTATAAATAAGGGTCCCAAATGGCTTTCTTTCGGGACGCCAGATGTAACCCTTACAACATTAGATAAATTATTATTAAATAGGACCTTTTGCGTTCTGCCATTCAGATAACTTAAGATCCAATTAAGAAGACCACTTGGACAACCCATTAAATCGAGTTTCCTTAGGAGGAGAGAATGGTTAACAGAGTCAAATGCTTTACTGATTTCCGTATGATTACATATGTCTAGAAGCTATTATGGAAGCCTTTTATATTAAAGAAAGTGAGCTCCAATAGATTAGTTGTTTTCGATCTTCGCCTAATAAAATTTTGACGTGAAGAAATTACTGATCTACAAAAATGATGAGTAATGCTTTTTTTGGAGAGGGGAATACACAGGGCGTCGACAAAATAACTGAGCAAAAAGCCAGGTATTCCGTCGGGACCCGGCAAATAAACAGTCTTAACACGGTGGAGATGTAAAAAAAAGAGAGCCTTCGTTTAAACTAGGACTGGAAATTCGGTTTGATTTCGGCATGATGAAAAAGGAAGTTTGTTTTGAATACGTAGAATTCAAATATGGGCAATTCTCTGGTGTCGAATGCGTTGTTCGTACGCATTCTAACTAAAAATATCATGTACCAAGACTTTATTTTTATTTTACAAAATTTGAAACTTATAGCTCTTGGTTATCTTTAAGTTTGGTGCTAAGATCGATTTTGAACCCTTCTTCGTTTTTAAGATGTTCACTAAAATGTACTGCATTCGCACGCGACAAGAACAGAAGTTACATTTGCAACAAACAACAACAATTCATCGAAACGAGATGAAAAATTGTATTACATTAAATTTTAAT